TCTTAGACATATGCTATGTTTCTGTCACTGTCCCCAATGCCTGTGTCAACTCTCTCACTGGCCACAGAAATATCTCTGTGCTTGGCTGTGCAGCACAGGTCTTTTTGGTCTTCTTTTGCGCATGTGTAGAGATTCTCTTTCTCACTGTCATGGCTCAGGACCGCTATGTGGCCATCTGTAAGCCTCTCCTCTATCCTGTGATCATGAACCACCAAGTCTGTGTTCAGACGACACTGGCTTCCCTATTTATCTGTCTTGTCCTTGCAAGTGTACACACTATCGAAACATTCCAGCTCTCCTTCTGTCACTCCAATGTTGTCTCTCAGATCTTCTGTGACATCCCCTCTTTGTTGAGAATTTCTTGCTCAGATGACTTTATAAACAAACTCTTGATGCTTCTGACTGCCATCGGGTTCAGTGGTAGCTGTTTTACATTCATTGCCATATCGTATATTCACATATTGTCAACTGTGTTGAAGGTTCCTGTTAAAGGAGAGCGAGGGAAGGCCTTTTCCACCTGTGTCCCTCACATTATTGTGGTGTCTATGTTTTTTGGCTCTGGTGCCTATGTGTATCTAAGATTTCCAGGAACCTCACAAGCAGTTCATGAGATTGCTTTTTCTGTATTTTATACTGTTTTTCCACCATTCTTAAATCCTATCATCTATAGTCTTAGAAACAAACAGATAAACGAGGCTGTGAAGAAAGTCATGTTAAAATTTGTTTTTCCTTAGAAGATAAAACATACTTCTATTGATCAGGGTTTTCAAGAGGAAGAGAACTGACCAAACACACACACACACACACACACACACACACACACACATGCACATATAAATAGAAAAACACACACCACAAAGCATTTCCCTTTCATTGAAGAAATACTTTTTACATATTCTATACAGAATACTTAACCCACTTTCTATGCTTCCTCACCTACAGCCCTCCTCACCTGTCTTCCCATTCAGAGCCATCCCTTTTTTTCTCTCATTAGAAAACAAATAGACTACTAAGGGTTAATAATATAATAAAATAATATAAGATAAGCTAAAACAAAAAACTAGTGCATCAAAATAGCACAAAATAAAAAAGTGGAAAGAGCCCATGAAAAGGTCGAAAATAACTGACATAGATGCAGAGTCACAAGCACTCAAACACTGAAGAAACCCACAAAAAACACTAAATTGGAAGCAGGAATATATATGCAAAGGATTTGACTGGTAAACTAGAAATATATATAACAGTAAGATTTAAACAAACAAACAAACAAAATGCCCTGACAAAAATTTATGAGGCAAGGGACCTCAAAGGATGCCCTTCGGTTTATAGTTTTACCCATCTCCTGCTTGGAATGTATGCTATCCTTAACAGTAGCTTGCCCATCAAGTGAAACCCCTTTAAAGGAAACTCAAGCTTTATTGAAAGTAGTAATCAATTAGAGATTGTTTCTGAGTTAGCTATGAGGGCATGTATCCACTTTTTGTTTCAGTTCTATGCTTGCATATATTGAGATCCATTCATATAGAACCTGTGCATAGTTCCTCAGTTTTTGTGAAATCATATGTACATAAATCATGTTGATTTAGAGGATCTTATTTAGTCACTGTCTTCCATCAACTCTGCTTGTTTTACTCTTTGTATTTCCTCTTTCACGGGGCTCCTTGAGGCTAGAGAGGAAGGATTTGATGGAGACATCCCATTTAAGGCTGACTTCTCCAAGGCCCCTTAGTCTCTGCATAATGCTTTACTGTCGGTCTCTCTATTAGTTCCCACCTGCTGCAGGAGAAAGGTTTCCTGATGACGACTGATCAATGAACACATCTATAAGTATAGGAGATTATCATTAGGCATAATTTTATTACTAAGATTTTAAATTTTTTTCTTTTCTTTTTTTAGAACAGTTGTATTCTATGTTAGCATATGTCTTGGGGCTTTCCATCTTAAATTCCTGGTTACAAAAGCAGTCATAGGTATGAGTTTCATCATGTAGCATGGACCTTAAGGCAACTCAGATATTGTTTGGTGATTCCCACAAACTTAGAGTCACCTTTGCACTGGTGATATTGGTGCTAACATTTCTGCTTTGGCAGCATTAAACTTAACACCTAACACCTAAACTAGAGTTTAGGTGTTAAGGCACTCTGTAGGCTTCAGATTAACATCTTTATGTTCAATGAGATGGTTAAGTTTGTTTTAAGCAATGTTGCATTGCTGTCAGTTCTTGGGAACTTATAGTCTTGGGAAAGCCCCAGGATATACTGGGACATCCCCATGAAAGAACAATTCAGTGTGGCATTACCCAATCTTGATACTGAGAACTTCATATGATTAAAACAAATGGCCAGTTTGGACATTGTCTCTCCCTCATTTGCTGGCATCCTTCGGATTACCTTCATGTGAGTATGTATTTTAAGTGGCATCTAATGTATGAAGTTTTTGTAACACTGCTCCAAAGGTTGTTATTTTTAGTTGTTTTGTCTAATAATTTCCCCTCATTACCAATTTTCTCTTGTCCAGTTACAAGTGAGGTAGGGGGCCACAAAGCAAATAAAATTGTATTTGCATATGAACACGTATTAAAACGCTAACTGAAGAAAATTTTAACTGAAGGTTTAACTTAGCCTTGACTTTGCTATCCACGCACCAATTTGATAAGGATTACATTTAATTCATATAATGGGTTCACTCAGAATTTTTGATCTAAATATTGTTTAAGGTTTTCTTATAAAGTATCACTTACAGGCTCATATGTTTTCACACTTTTTCTTAGTGCTGTCAACAGGTGTCGTGGTATTTTCCAGACCAGGGTTGCCACCAAGGACATATCTGGGTCCATCACCCTTCCCCAGCCTGATTGGGTGTTCACACTTGTAGCTCCTGAGACTTTTGAAGAATGTGCCAATGTCAGGTGTCTCAGCTGCCGTCTGAGATTATGTTGGTGTCCATGGGCCAGGCTGCCTTAGGGACCAGGCTGGTCTAAGAACTCTGTACTGCCACTTGAGGCCATACTGACAATCCATGTTTCAGACTGATGCCTAAACCATGTCTGGTTCCATGGTCCTACTAGAGTCAAGTTCAGTGTGGATTACTTTGGCCCATTTTGTCACTAAAGACAACATAGATGTCTGGGTCTGGGCCAGAATCTGTGACCATGAGGGTATCCAAAATCCATGTGCCCATCAAGGACATGCTGTTTTGAGTGACCTTCATTGTCATGCAGGGCCATTGTGTCAAACATGCCAGAACTGCTGCCAAATAGACCTGTAGCAGCCAGGGTCTGAGTTGTTGTCAATGACTCTAGTTACCACAAAGCATAGTTCATCACTACCTAAGACCATGTAGGTATCCAAGGATCATGCTTCTGCATGGACCATACTGATCAGTGTGCCTGGTGTTTCCATCTGGGGTCATGGGGATATTAATCATGTGCTACTGCATAGGGCCTTGTCATGCCTGAGGCCCTGCTGTGGCAGTGGTCTGAGGTATTTCCACAGTTACTGCTACCACTTAAGGCTCTCCAGATGCACAGGGTCTGGAGACCATGTTGGTGACTGAAGGCTCTACAGTCACCTGGTCTATATTATTTTGAATGGTCTGTGCTGTCACAAGGTCCATGAGGCACTGAACAGTGGCCAAGGGTCATGTTAGCATTAATGTTCCTGGATCTGATGTTTGGGATGATGTCTGTGGCCCATTTTATCAGAGGGGCTTGTGGAAATCAAGCTGTGCAGAGCCAGCCCAGCCCTTTGCAAGCCCTAGAACACCAGGCCATGGCCCTGTCTGGACAATTCAACAGGAGAACTTACCCTCCGACTCAGGGGAGAGCTTGATGCTCCAACTAAGGAAAGATGGTGCTACCCTAACCACAGACATTCACCTCACCTGGACGGCACACGAGAGTTTATCCTGTGGTCAGGGATGCAGGTGAGCCAAATCTGAGGGTGTGAGAGCAGTAGAGCTGACCCTACCTCCCTAAGAGGAACTGGGGAAAAGGTTAACCTACCTTGCTGGGACAAAACAACAGAGCTGGCCCTGGAAATATACCTTGGTGCCGTGAATCTGAGAACCTGAGAGCAGGAGAACAGGCACCTATCCTTGCTATAGGTTGAATCGGGTGAGCTAGAATGGCTGAACTGGAGAATTTTTCTGGGTAGTGACAGGAGGGAAAGCTGGCAAACTGACCAACCTAACATCCATTCAGGCACAGAACCAAGGCTATGAGTTGGCACACCCCAACATCATGCAAACCTATGAACTCCTGGAACATCTGAAAGGTCAAAACAGCAGGATCTTCATAATTTAGGAAAACAGGAAATCCAAGAGGAGCCCTAGTGAGACTCCACTCTCAGCGGTGTAGCAGAAACCATTGGCAGACCAATGACTCAAGGTAATGAACACTTGCAAGTCAAGATGGATTAAAGGGTAAAATGGGTGACTTAAGGGGCCACACTACAGTCTTTATGACAAGAGTCCTTTTTTCTTTTTTATCTTGTTTCTCTGTTTTTTCATGTGGGATTTCACAAAATGCATGATGTGAAATCCACAAAGAATTAAACTTACTAAAAAGAAAAGTAATTTATAAGTTTTCACTATTGCCTCAGTCTATGCAAGAGAACTTTTATAGTTTTAATGTTTATCTGTTTTATTTCTGAATGTGGAAATACATATAAGGTTTCTTCTTATGTAGCTTATTACCCTCTCAAGTGCCTAACCCTTTGTTCATTTACTTACTTCTTGAAGAACACCACAAGATATCAATCAGCTGGGAAACTCCCCTCAATTTTCTCTTACACCACATCTGAGAAATAGTCATGGAGTATTGTTGTTTTTGGTGTGTGCATTTAAACAACAATAAGTTTTTAAATAGAACAAATGGATTTGAGATAAATTCAGGAAGTACAAGGAATGAGTTGGAAGGAAGAGTGAGTGTAGATGAAATGAAATCGATACAGTATGCATGTAGGAAATTTTAGAAAATAAAATAAATGTGAACAAAGAATTCTTTGTATTGAAGTATTTTCTCTGAGTTTCAAAACTTTGACTTTTAACATTGACAACTTTGAGATTTAATAATTTATGGAAAGATACAGGTGAGTAAGCAAGTTTATTTAAGAAATGAAAGTATGCCAGGAATGAACACATAACAGAGTCAGTGACATTGCAAGGAGAGGCATGCTTTCAAAGGTGATTTTTTTTTTATTTTGTGTGTTGGCAGATGTGAATTAAGGGTATCATAAAGTTAATCAGGTTTAGTTGACTCTCATTTTGCCCTAAATCAGGCTCTTAATATGCTCTAAATTTGAGAGAGAAAAAGTAATATACAAATAGAGATTGAAATCATGATTTGGCAAAAATGGTCTAACTTCCCCATAATTTGTGCTTACTACTTGAGTTCCATCAGTATAAGGTGATATCTCAGTCATTTCAATAGGCTTCAATGAGATACATATTACTTGGTATTGAATTTATAGGTATAGTATCAAATCATCAGAGTAGATTATAAAGCTTTGGATTTCTTTATTCTGGATTCTAAATGATTGAGAAGAATAGTTGGATCTTTCTGTCAAAAATGAGATAGGATAATGAGAGGAGCGTAATACTGACCTGATCCATGCAAGGTTTCCAGGTAGTCACGTTTTGTCAATCTGACTATAGAATATCATTAACGTAATTGAAAGTGACAACATTGTTGAAAATTAAGAGATCTTGATTTCTTTTTAAACACTAAGTTCATTTTTTAAAAAACAAAACAAAACAGAATCTTCAGAAGATAAAGAACAATAAAAAGCAATCTTTCCCATCAGACACACTAGTGAAAAAAATCAGTCATCATCAAGTGATTTCTGCTATAGTTATAATAGGTTCCACCACAGCTTCACAGCCTCCAATAGAAAGCATTTACCTTCACAGAAGAGGTGAATACTTCCTCAATTGCAGACATTAGACTAAAGGACACAAATAGATTACAATGGTTAAGAATACCTAGTATCTTTCTATAAATATTCTGTACAGTTTTTCTAATGGTGCATTATGAACTAGGGTAAATATCAAGTAAGCACTGTACTCAATTTGTTGCATTCTCTGCTATTATAATGATTCACAACAAGTTAGAATCTCATAGAAACCAAGTATGAATCTTTCTTGAGAGTTAATTTGCTTTCTATGATATGGACACATTTAACCATGGTTGTGTTCATCTTCTGTTTATAAAATATGATAAAAGAGCTATCAAGTGATTGTAGATATTTATTAATTTCTTTCCAAAGATAAAAATCTTAAAACTTTGGCTGGAGAGATGGTTCAACTACTAAAGGCTAGGCTCACAACCAAAAGCTATCTTAAAAGTTCCCTGAAAACTTTAATGAATTTTGTCACTCTCAAATTATTTGACATGTTAAGTGAAAGGAGTCTCTTGAGTAGAAAATTTGAAATAGCCTTTTCAGAGCGCTAGTAACTTCAGCGTTTCTCAGGGTGTAGATCACTGGATTAAGGGCTGGAGATAGCATAGGGTACAGCAAAGAAAACAACCTGTCTGTAATTGATGTTGTATTTGAGGGTGGCTTCAGATAGACAAAGCAAACAGTAGCAATGAAAATAGTGAAAACAATGAGGTGAGGTACACATGTGACAAATGCTTTGGTCTGGCCTTTAGCAGTAGGAATCTTCAGTACAGTGGAGAAAATGTAAAAGTAAGAGATCACAACACAGAAGATACAAAAGACACCTAGACACAGAGCAATCCCAAGACTTGTGTAAATGGCTACAAATGAGTCAGAGCAGGAAATCCTTAATAAAGAAGGAACATCACAGAAAATCTCTGGGATTATATTAGAACCACAGAAAGGCATGGAAAATATGAGAATTGTGTATATGGCTGCAAAGAATAATGCAATGACCCAAGGTACACCCATCAGCAGCACACAGTTGATACTACTCATAATAATGTCATAATGCAAGGGAATGCAGATAGAAACATAGCGGTCATAGGACATGGCTGTCAGGAGGAATAATTCTTCTGCTCCAAAAGAGGCCATGAAGAATAACTGACATGCACATCCAAGAGTAGAAATGGAATTGTTATGAGTTAGGCTACTAATAAAGAAATTTGGGATTGGGACAGACACTAGAAAGACATCCACCAGGGACAAGTTCTTCAGGAAGAAGTACATGGGTGATTGGAGTTTCTGATCCAGGGTAATGAGAGTGATGATGAGGAAGTTACTCATTAGGATCACCACGTATATTAACAGAAAGGAAATTCCACATAGAGTCTGTAGTTCACGGATATTAGAGAGCCCCATAAGGATGAATCCAGTTACTGCAGTGATATTGGGCATAATATATGTTTTCAAAGCCTGTCAGATGAAGAAAAATGAATAGATATTGTCAAAGCCCTGAACACACACACACACACACACACACACACACACACACACACACACACGGACACAGTAAGTGGAAAAGAGTAAAGAAACTACCCAAATAGCTTCAACATTTTTATACAACTTTCATTTCATCTTCCCTCAATCTCTTTACCTTACTCCCTCCCTCCTATGTTTGTCTATGTATGTCCTTCTCCCCTCTCTTTCTCCTTACTCTCTTTCCCTCATTTTCCCCTTCCCTTTTTATCTCCCTCCAACCCAGTGATGCTTTTATCACATTATATATATTATGCTGCTAAGTAAGTTTTCTACAGTTGGTCTCTATAACCTTAACACATAGACTCTTAAAATGAAGACTAACTAACCAGAACACTATGTAACATAAATTAGTCTTCTTTTGTCTTTCAACACTGTCATTTTAAGATTAGAAAATAGTTTTCATAGTTTACCATTTCTTGGGTTTCATTTAAAGAACAATGAATATTTAAAATACAAAAATATTGTTAAGAAAAACTGAAATGCATTTATTTACATCTTCCCATCCTCCTCCAAAGTTTCCCAATTCTCTTTCAAATACATGACCTCTTTCCCCTCATTTGTTAGTGTTACTTAAATATACATGTTTTCTATAATAGATATGCACATATGTAAATATATATAATGCAAAAAAAAGAAAAACAGAAATGTAAATGGAAGAGTTTTATTTACACTCTCTTTGCTTGGAATTAAAACAATAATCAATCAAATAATATACTGAGCCAAACTATTCAGGTTCCTATTCTCTTCCTTGTTTAAATTGGCATTCTTGTCAATACGTCTGAAGACAGGGCTGACCTGTAAAGTTGTATCTTCTAATTTCCTTTTCTGCCTTTCATCATTATGTTTACTATTTGATATTCATGCAGATAGGATATTCCTAATTTGCTGTGGCTTTCTAAAGTCAGGATCCTAATGTCACAGAATTTCCTTAATGTTATTCCAACAAAATATCCCTTCGTTTTCATGAATATTTTTATTATCCTTAAATATTTAACAGGTTTACATTCTGCAAAATTACATTCCCTATGTTGTTTAGAAGCAGAAAGAGTTAAATTCTCTCACATCACTTACCACAACCTTTTGATTCAATATGGAACCCTAGACCACATAATGGAGTACCTCCAAAAGTGCATGCATCTTCCCACCTTTGTCAAATCTTTATGAAATGTACTCAGAAGTTTGTTAGATGATTCTTAATATTGTAAACTCTATAAAAAACAAAGCAGTCACAACTATTCTTAACTGCTTTTCACCTTAATAATTTTAGCCCAGAAGTACTAGATAAAGACCATGATACTATTGTATATATGTATTAGCTAGTATAGAATAATATATTGCTATGAGAGGTTTTTTCAGTCATGAAAGTCTTTGCCATGGGAAGCAAATTAATCATGAAAGTCACTCATTGTTCAATCATTTTGACCTTAATAGATTTCAAAATGTGATGCATATAAAAATGTTAGCTATGTTCTTCAAAGACAATTTTAGCTTTAGCAAATAGAAGGAATTTTCTAAAGAGACTTTTTAGATGTTCTATAGGAGAGTCTTTCATTAGGATGCTCTTAAATGAACTTAGTATTAAAATGACCAATATTGACTTATGGATATGCCCATAGATTGATGTATCTCTCAGCAAAAAACAAAGATGTTTCTATTTACAATAGTATATGGTTAACATAGAGAACCAAAGTATGTCAAGGTGAAGAGACTTAGATTCTACAGAATACTTAGCCCTAATAGTACAAATACACTGCATATCAAAAGGCCAACGGTCAGGATGATTGCTAAAGAAGGGTAGAAAAAGGATAAAATTCTCTCTTCTTTCTCCATCCCTCTGAGACCCTTGCCCTGTTTTGCTTCCTCCTACAACTTCTCTATATCTCTCTCTTTCTTTGTCCTCCTCCCTCACTCAGTTTATGATCTCTCTCACCCCATTCCTCTCTCTCACACACACTCTGTCTCCTTCTCTCTGTATCTGTGTATGCATGTGTGTGTATGTGTGTATGTTATTGACTAAATAATAAACTAATATAGAGATTATGGTGGCATCTTATTCTGCATTGGAAAAGGCAAAAATAAGCATGTACAAATATTTTTAAAAAGCAACAAAAAATTTCAAAAGAAATATTACTGGGCATTCAAGCATTGGATTTGAGATTTTCGGTTGACTGCTTATGTTAAAGGACTTTCCACCAAAATTCACAGGACAAGTCCATGGGCAAAGATCTCTGGAGATGGTAGTATGGAAATCATAGCTCTAATTCACATTGGAATAGATCATATATGGAATATTTTCATAAAAGTTTTCAGTGGACACAGAAACAAGATTTGGTCTCAGGATAAAACTCAGGATACTTATCTGTCTATTACAACTCTTAAGCTGGGGAAATACAAACATAAGACAAAAAATTAAAAAAAAACTGCTAAATTACATTGATTTAAATAACTTTCATAATTTCTTCCATATTGATAATATTTTAAAAAATTTAGACAGTATAGTTTAATATTTTACCAGTGGGAAAAACTGCTAAATTACATTGATTTAAATAACTTTCATAATTTCTTCCATATTGATAATATTTTTAAAAATTTAGACAGTATAGTTTAATATTTTACCAGTAGAAATTTAAAATTTCTACCTTAGATCAATTCAGATTCTTCATTCATATACATGTGGGATGATTTTCCAACAGGTCAACTTGAAGAAGCAAAATTTTTCAGATCCTTTAGAGGTCAATTTACAGTGGATCACCTGAAAGGAAAATAGAAGATGTAGCCATCTTTAGAAACTTTTATACCAACATATCATTTGTATGTCTTTAGTATTGTAAGTAAACTCAAAATTCTAAGCTAACCTATTGTTGTTTCTTGTTATGAAAATGCAACTATATGTAATAGAAATTTGAAACCTAATGTAGCAAAACATCTCTAGCAGACCTATTTAAGTCCTTTGGCTACATGCTTGTAGTTCCCAAAGGTGTATCTTTCTTGATAGCCTTATTAAGAATACATGTCTGAAGAGAAATAGTATTGTAATAATTGATACTACAGAACACATTAGTCATTCTCTAGGAATCACTGTGATAAATCATGAAGAACATGTTCACATTTTCCCCAGAATCAAATTAATTACGTATTTCCTTAATTGTGCAGTACATAGAGTTGGATTCAACATAGTAAAATTACATATAACAAAACAGGTATCAAGCAAGAATTACAATATTTATATATACTTTATCTTTTATCATAACTAAGAAAAACTATAACTATCTATTCTTTAACTCCATCAAAGACTCCAGAAGGATATAATATTGATGTGGGAGTGTCATATATCAATCTGTTGATTTCATTGGTTAAGTAATAAACAAAATGTTTGGCTCATAGCTTAGAACATAGGTGGGTGGAGTAAACAGAACAGAATGCTGGGAGGAAGAGGAAGTGAGCTCAGAGACTCGACAGCTCTGCTCTCTGGAGCAGAGAGTCGCCATGACCCGCTCCCGGGCAGACGCATGCGATGAATCTCCGACCCAGAATGGACGTAGGCTAGAATCTTCCCGGTAAGACCGGTGCCCACAGATTATTAGAGATGGGTTGATCGGGATATCAGAATTAGCCAGTAAGGGCTAGAGCTAAAGGGCCAAGCCGTGTTTAAAAGAATACAGTTTCCGAGTAATTATTTCGGGTAAAGCTAGCCGTGGGAGCGGCCGGGTGCCGGGGACGCAGCCCTCCGCTCCTACTACAACATAATATTACCCAAGTAAACAGGAAGTGAATTGCAAGCAAGATCCAAATTTCTAGAACTGACAGAGTAATCTCACTGCCCGGACAGTCACCAGAAGTTCTTCTGTATCATGGGGGCATCCATCTTCAGCCCACTAGTCCATAGTATCCTGTGTTCTGCTGAATGTCTATTAGACTCTTTCATAAAACAGGAACTCCAAAGGATTGTCTCACCTTTAGGCAAGTTCAGCAGCCATTTATCTGTGGGGCCTGCATGTTCAGTTTATACAGCATAACATCAAGCAGTCCAGGCAAGAGCAGTTTCTTGTCAAAATGGTGAACAAGCTCCTTGTGGAGCCTCTTTGATGCCCATCCTCCTCTTTAAGTAATAGGTGCTTCTAGAAGCAGATGTGTCTCACTGTCATGAAAAGTTCTAAGTTCTTAAAACATTTTAAATGCCACATTCTGAAGATCTCTGAAAGATATGAAGAATACCTGTCTAACTGAAATCTCTCTCTCTATATATATATCTAGAAAACCTGATTAACATGACTAGAAGCTTGACTATTATGACTATCTATTATACATTACATTCTTAAATGAGCTTCACAAACACAATACCTTAATCAAGGTCAGAAATACATATACACAGTATAATAAAATTGAGCTTAAATTTTTATCAATAAACCAAGATCCATATCAATGCAAATCTCTATAGCATATCCCCTTTTAAATGTAAACAAACATTTATAAACAATATTTGGGAATTTGAATGTAGTTCTTTCCAAACTGTTTTCTGATTTTTTTTGGTGAAGTATTTTTATGGGTGTTCATGGTGGCCTTTCAGGGGTTCTTGGCCCATCAAACCACATTAGTCAGAAATTAATCCATAGGTTCTCATCTTCTGTGTAAACAAAAACAGAACCTCTTTTCCAAAGCAATATATCCTTAGACACAAATTTTGAAATCAAGGTATGTTTATGTTGGTTTAACTTTGCAGTCCACACAACAAAATATCACTCTATACTTAGCTTCTTCACACTTGAAAAATTCAAAGAATACACAATAATATACATAATACATACTCTCTCTGTATATTCAACTTTTAGGTGGCTTATTTTTCTTACTCTATTACTTTTTTTTACAAGTTAAATATTTATTTTATTATCTTTACTCCTTTAATCTATGATTGTCTG